GAGTCGATAGTTGAAGGTCCATCCGCATATGGAATCAATATGCGCAGGCCCCTTCACATAAGGAATTAATATGTGAAGGCCCCTTCCGCATAGAGAATCAACAAGTGGGAGGCCCCTCCACGTGAGAAATCAAGATGGAAATCCCAGCACATAAAGAATCAATATGTGGAGGTCCTCACACACAGAACCAATATGTGGAGGTTCGGGCGTCAGAAAACATTGTAAAACGCATCGTTTCTGAAGGGTGGACTGATGAAATCGGTGTGTGTTTACCATGTTGTTTTTGTTTCGGAGGTCAGAAAGCATTGCAAGAAAAAGCAGCGCTTTGAAGCCGGATTTGTGAAAACATTTTGTTTTACAGTGCCTCGTTGATTCGGGTGTCAGAAGACATTGCAAAACACAGTGCTTTTGGATGGGTGACTGTTGAAACGCTGTGTTTTGTTATTATTATTGTTGATTTTGCATGGGGGGCTAGCACACATTGTAAAACATAATGTTCTGAAGCTCGCATTGCTGAAAACATTATGTATTGCAATGTTTTGCTGCTTCCGGTGTCAGAAGACATGGCAGCGCACCATGTTTTTGGATGGGTGACTGTCGAAACGTTGCGTCTTGCAATGTTTTTTTTGTTTCGGGCGTCCGAACAGATTGTAAAATCTATTGTTTTTGGGCGGAGGGCTGTTCGAACGCTGCGTTTCAAAATGTTTGTTCCCCACATCCTGAGTGGGGTTTCTGTTTTCCCAGAACACCCTCTCCTTCCCACCCACCTCCCGCTCCATCTTCCATACAGCACAATATTATTCCTACCACACACACCATACCATACCATAGTTCCTACCACACATACCATACCATACCATACCATACCATACCACACCATACGTACCATACCGTACCATACCATACCATGGCGTACCATAGCATACCATACCATATCACACCAATGCCACACCGTACCATACCATACCATACCTCCAGTACCCATACCATATCATACCATACCGTACCATACCATACCTACCATACCATTCCATACCACCGTGGAGGGGGAGGGGCACGAAACCATACTATTTACATGGTTTCGTGCCCCTCCCACCCTCCAGGGAGGCCCCGCCTGAGCGAGGAGGGTATCGGAATACTACTATTTACATGGTTTCGTGCCCCTCCCACCCTCCAGGGAGGCCCCGCCTGAGCGAGGAGGGTATCCGAAAACCATACTATTTACATGGTTTCGTGCCCCTCCCACCCTCCAGGGAGGCCCCGCCTGAGCGAGGAGGGTATCCGAAAACCATACTATTACATGGTTTCGTGCCCCTCCCACCCTCCAGGGAGGCCCCGCCTGAGCGAGGAGGGTATCGGAATACCATACTATTTACATGGTTCCGTGCCCCTCCCACACCTCCAGGGAGGCCCCGCCTGAGCGAGGAGGGTATCGGAAAACCATACTATTTACATGGTTTCGTGCCCCTCCCACCCCTCCAGGGAGGCCCCGCCTGAGCGAGGAGGGTATCGGAAAACCATACTATTTACATGGTTTCGTGCCCCTCCCACCCCTCCAGGGAGGCCCCGCCTGAGCGAGGAGGGTATCGGAAAACCATACTATTTACATGGTTTCGTGCCCCTCCCACCCCTCCAGGGAGGCCCCGCCTGAGCGAGGAGGGTATCCGTACATTTACATGGACCCCTCCAGGGAGGCCCCGCCTGAGCGAGGAGGGTATCGGAATACCATACTATTTACATGGTTTCGTGCCCCTCCCACCCCTCCAGGGAGGCCCCGCCTGAGCGAGGAGGGTATCGGAATACCATACTATTTACATGGTTTCGTGCCCCTCCCACCCCTCCAGGGAGGCCCCGCCTGAGCGAGGAGGGTATCGGAAAACCATACTATTTACATGGTTTCGTGCCCCTCCCACCCCTCCAGGGAGGCCCCGCCTGAGCGAGGAGGGTATCGCCATACTATTTACATGGTTTCGTGTCCCCCCTCCACTCCTCCAGAGAGGCCGCGCTTGAACGAGGAGGGTCGCGGAAAGCATTACTCTTCGCCAGGTTTCGTAGCCCTCCCCCCTTCCAGCGGGGCCCCGCCAAAGCGAGGAGGGCATCAAGAAAATGGGTCCCCCGAAACCGTTAATCTCTTTATGTGGGGAACTCCGTTAGCATAATTTTTGTTTCGGGCGTTAGACAACATTGTAAAACGCAACGTTTTGGATGTCGGGCTGCTGAAAACAATGATATATATATATATATATATGTATATATATATATAAGATTGTGTAAACATTGAAAACGATTGGTTTTTGGTTGTGCGACTGCTGAAAATATCGTCTTGCGCAATGTTTTTAGTTCCGAAGCGCTGTAGTTTACAACTGCAGCGTTCCAGGGGTCGGAGGCGCCCGACGGTCGCCTCAGACAAAGTTCTGAGGGGGGCAAAAAAAAATATTCCCCGGGGGGGCGATTGCTTTGTTCGGACCCCGCCCCGCCGCCCCCCACAAAACAAAGAAAACTGCCCTCTGACGATTTTTTTCTGCCCCCTTCAAAACTCGTTCTGGCTCCCTTTCAACAGGAATTCTTTTGAGAGCCGGAGGGGGGGGGGGGGGGGGGGAGGAGGAGGGGTGGAGGAGGAGGAGGAACAGGGGGGGGGGGTGGAGGAGGAGCAGCAGCAGCAGGAACACGCGGAGTTGGAGGAGGAGGCGGGGGCGGAGGAGGAGGAGGGAGAGGAGAGAGAGAGAGAGAGAGAGAGAGGAGAGAGAGAGAGAGAGAGAGGAGAAAGAGAGAGAGAGAGAGAGAGAGGAGAGAAAGAGAAGAGAGAG